TATGTTTAAAGTTCTTCTGTTGAATTTAAACCTCTGAGGCACAACTTAAAAAACTGCACACTGTAGATCTTAAAGCAAAAATCACATGGAAATGGTTCATAGCCCTGGGAATGTTTTAATAGAAATTGTTGGTAATATACCACCTATACTGTTTATACTGCAAAAATCTGAAAAGAAACAATCTTTCCCTAAAATGGCGGATACTGATTGGTAAGTAGATTAGCTGATGATCGGTCCAGTGCAACCAGTAAGCCCCACTATGACTTCACTGGCCATAAAACCAATATAATAATCATCACTGTTATAACAATTGGTATTTTTTTTAGCAGTGACAGTGAGCATTATCAACTGGTGGTTTAAACAGAAGGAGCTTGGAGGCAGTAAATTAAGGCACATCAGTTTTGCACTGAGCACAAAATTTACTTTTCTTCTCTATTCATGCACTTACAGTAGTGTGTCTAATTATAGAATATTGGTTGATGTGAGTGTAAACTGCATGGGTGTTGTGGTAATATCACCTCACTAGTTCAAACAGTGTTGGGGGCTGACAGTAGGTGCAGCTACAGACAGAAGGTCCTGGATCTGAACACTGGCTGGTGGCTATGATGTTTGCCAGTTAATTCCTGCTCTCACTTCCTCTCATATTCTAGAAACATGTAAGGTAATTTGATCAATATAGACTGTCCAAAGTTTTGAGCATGTGTGCATGTTGTTTGTCAAAATTGTGTGTGGATATACTCTGCCTGAGACTGGCACTGTGACCCTGCAAGTGTAAGCAGGTATAGACAATGGACTGATACATGGATAACCGATGTAACACCAGCAAAACATGACACTTACAGGTGTACATGCTTCCTAATCTATCAACTGAACTACTTCAATCAGCAAGATAAATACCAGTAGGCTGAAGCTCATTTGTTACAACATCTCACACAAGTGATTTTTTGATCTATCCTGAACTTGCACCTTTTTTATAAATTGAGTTTTACACAAGGCTGTCTTAAGGTTAACTCATCAAGAATATTTTTTAAAGACCACTGCCTCTAAGTGGTAATAATACAATCAATCCAGTGTTCATAGATGTGAGCTGGTGGAGGCACTAGTCTAGGAGATAGATTAAAAAGGAATTAAGATGTTCTGTAACAGAGAAAGGGAGAAAGCTAAATCTTAAGCATTATATAATTTAATATTTAAAATTGGGACTCTGCTCTAAAGATCGTTGCAGTACATACAGAAGAAAGATTTTAAGAAAAAGAAATTCTATATATGTATATAATATTTTATTGGGGTGAATGTCATGATCATTGCGTGGATCACTGGCTTAATTACTCATTCCATTCACTTGTCTAACTCTGCCCAGTTTCTCATCACTGCTCATTTGATCCACCTGCTCCTGCCTCTATTTAATGTGCTTGTACCTGGAACAAGCGCCTCAAATAATTACTTAAATAACTTAAATTCCAGGTACTTGGAAATTCACTCGCATACAGAAAGCCCATATTCTTATCTTAAGGTAACACAGAGTACATGTCAGATTAAATAATACTACTTATACTTCAGCGATGGTACCTAGGTGTTGTTTATTATTTGTCTCGTACCATATCCGTTGGTTGTGCTGTTCTTTTTACATCTCTTTGCAGGTGATAAAGCAGACTGAAAATGTTTTATCATTATCTCCCTTTTATCTCCTCTTTCTTTCATCTTTTCTCCTTTTTTCTGTTTTTACCTTCCTGTTCTACTTACATTGTAGTGTCCATATAATGTGTAAAACTCCCTGCATAATTATAATAAAGCAATTTATATGCATAAAACAAATGGCACACTATGGCGATAGCCGTACTGCTCCACTTGTGAAAGTAAAATCTGTTGGGCTCTTTTTGGCATCAAGACAATTATTCGTATTGCTACATCGCCAGAAAAATAAAAAATAAAATAATATATATATATGTATTTTTTTTTATTTGAGTTGCTTGTATCCAGTCATCAGAGCGGTATTATTCTTGTTCTCTCTAGCCATTGGTGAGAGTGTTTTTAGCATTCCTGAGGGTTTGCTATTACCTGATCCTGACCTGTTCTGCCTCTTAACCACTGAGCCTGCCTGCTCCTGTTCTGATCTGTTTGCCTGACCTGACTTCGGATTCCTGGATCTTTGAACCTGCCTCTTGCTGTTGTGATCCGTTTGCCTAACCTGGCTACTGACTCCTGGACCTCTGAGCCTGCCTGTTCCTGTTCAGATTCATTTGCCTGACCCGACTTTGGACTCCTGGACCTCCGGGCCTTCCTGTTATGAACTGTTTGCCTGACCCGGCTCCACCAGTTGGATCCTACCTTGTTCTCTGCCTATGGACTGAACCAGTAAACCAGGTTAGTGACTCATGTTCATAATTTTCCTCCATTAGATGTACTTGCTCACAAACCTGTGTTTTCCTGTCTCCAGAGTTTCCTGCCTTAAGTTGCCCTAGCCGCTGCGACCCGATCTGCTGTTTATCTCCATAAATGCTTTTGAGTAATCCCACTGCCTGTCTCGCCAGAATACTGAGTCTTTCTGTTCTGAGTCGTGACAATACAGTAGAATTAGGATATATCTTCTGGCAATGTAGAATAAAATAAAGGTGTCAGAATGAATATGAATTAATATATAGACAGTGCAATTAAGATGGTAAAGATAACTTACTGTCTGGATGACTTTGTACTGTTCACTGAAGAGAAATTATGTTAAAAATGTGCATAAAGCTGGTCAGCACTTAAAAAATGTGTTTCATTGCTTTGACATCAGTACAAGTGTCTTCATTGATTATTGAGAAGAATGTAATTTTTTACATCTTTTTGGAAGATAATGTAAAAGAGGAACAATTTTTGTTTTCTACTCATAACAGGACATATCATTATATTTTGATATTCTACCTATAAAAGTCCAATTAAATCTTTATCACCCGGAGTACTAAATCATTTTGGCCTAAACATTATTCAGTTTTTATCTTGATGTTATTGGCGACCTGTTTCATGCCCTCCATTTATCTGGTCTAGCAACAGATGTGCGTTTTCAAATATTAAGTTAAAAACTTTTTGTAATATACTCAGGAGTCATTTTTATTTATTTATTTTTAATCGGCCAACATAAATATGGTGATCTGCCTTTTGGATTTCTGGATCTCTGACCCGCTTATGTATGTAGGATGTGGGTTATCAAGCATGTGTTTATGGATTGGTTTATACTGATTGGGAAAGCTCTCCATATTAAGTTCCAATAATCACAACAATACCATCTTAAAGCAAAACATGCATATTTTTTTTTAACCAGCTAACTGAGCCATAAACTAACGACATCTATCTTTAACAAAAGTAGAACATCAATATTTCCACGTTTATTTAGTTAGAATTGAGGGAGAGCTGACCAGATTTGATCTTCCTGTGGAACCGTGTAAAGTTTTCTCAGATTCTCCAGTTCTTGCCCAAACTTGAAAAGGCCTAGCCACAACCAAAAGGATGCCGGGACAACTCAACTTAGTATGGTTTCCTTATTTGTCTTTTCCCTTGATTCAGACATATCTCACAAACATGTGAGTAGGTTGATAACCTACAAAGAAAAATGCACACCAGAAATTACAATAAAATCTCTTGAATGTTTTACATTTCCAACCAGCTTTTACAACTTAACTGTAAATGAAATCAACCAACAATAATTGCATATTGCAAGCGATACATACCATGATGTCCACAATCTCAACTATTTAAGACATACTGTCAAACAAACTAAATTTCTTTTGGTTTTACTGCACAAAATACTAATCATGTAAAATACTTTTTACTGTCCATTTGAATAAACATATGTTCTCATTATCTCCTACCAGTGGTTAGTGGTAATTCTTTGCTGGTTGTGTCATTCTTCTGTGAAGCCCAGGTGAGCAGGGTTTTTTCTAAATTAGGTGTTTGGCTTGAGGTGGGAGAGCACTTGATTTTATGTTAAATGCACTCCCGGCGGGTGGACATTAGAAACTGTCACTTGCCCTTTACTGGTTTATCTTCACAAACAGGGACAACTATCTTGGCAGAACACCTTCTGTGACACTGATGGCACTTAATGGAGGGCTTCCATTAACCTTTTTAACCTAGAAGTGTCAGAATCAAGGCCAGAAAAAAAAAAAGAAATGTGATACAATCATCACAAGTCAGCAACTTGAATTGTTAAAAACAATTTAAAGTGCAGTAAGCTATACCTGTTAACAATATAAGCATAGTTCCCACTTTATGGTTAAAGTTTGGGGGGATAACATCATCGATTTTATGACATATCCATACTTATTCTCAATGACAACAGAAATTGTAGTTTTTGACAGGACTTAATGCATAGCAATTTTTCTGGATGTTGAAGTCTCTAGCTATAGCGGTGTCCTATATAGTAGCATAACAATGGCACAGATGTTTCCAACAAAACGGTTTGTGTCTTATAGTTTCCAACAGCATATAAACAAAGAAAATCAACTAAATTAATAGAATCAATACCAAAATAGATTAGACACAAAGTAATGTAAAAAATAAATTCTCAATATTTTTTTTTAACCTCATAAGTATGACACAATTATGCATTTTATTGATCAATACAATAATTATGCTGTTGTTTGATGTTAAGGTCTTTGACATGGGTGCTTGCCTTTTAAAGGGTGCAGTTAAAGTAAATGAAAAGTGCTGATCAATTTTCATACTAGACAGAGGAGCTCAGCTGCATGTAAACACAATACTCCAGCATGAAGACAGATGAACGGCAGGCTCACATACTAAACAGCATTCCAGTAGAGTAAATGTTATGTTATGTTCCGTTTATTTATATTAAGTTGGAATTACATACATGCACATACTGTCAGATACAATTTGGGTTCCTAGCTTTCCTTATTTGTAATTTGTATTTTGGTGATTTTAATTCAGTTGAAAACACCTTTTGACTCTCCAAAAAGCAAAGCCCCAGATTTCAGGATTTCTAAGACAACTGTCAGTCTGCTTACCTGTTCTAGTTTTTCTTTATTCTGTAGTACGATGGTTGCAGAGTAGCCCTGCTGCTGGATGGCACTGAAGCTGCTGCTTTTCACCTGGATCAAATGTGAAGGGGCTTCATCTTGTCGCTCCAAACGAATATCAGTGGACAGCTCCATTAATGACCTGTGGACTGATGCCGTCTGCTGGGGATGAAGAAACACTCTGCTTACACACACGAAGATGCTATCACCCCTGTTCTCCCTTCTTCTCTTTTTAATGTGTCTTCCAGAAGCTGAATCAGCTGCTTTTGTCCTATGCACTGTCTAACGCTCGGTACACACCTCGCTTGTTTGTAGCCAGAAAACCAGAACATGTTCGCTCACCCACACTCACAGGGGAGAGGGTGTGTGTGTGTCTTTGAGTGTGTGTAGTAAATGCAATACAGCTTCCCCGGTGGGAGGAGAGAGACAGTTGGCTCTGGTCTGCTCTTTTACTAAAGGAGGGAGGTGCAAGAAAAGCTGCTGCCTGACTGTAGCTTAGCGGACTGTGATGGGAAATAATCTGATTGAGAGAAGTCTAAGAAGACTTTCCAACATAATGAGATATATGCTGCTAATATCACTGACCTTTCTTGAAGATTGGCTCCTGGTAGTGAGTGCTCAAGTGGGGGCTTTAGGGAGTAAAGAGTCTGCCTAGAGTGACATTGAATTATTTGTGAAGAAAGAAGCAGGCAACAAAAAGGTCAGGCAAATGTGATTGTTTAGAAATGTTTGCATGTTTTTAGTTTTTAGGGTACAATCAGTCCTATAAGTAAAAAAAACACAGATTTTTCTACAAAGCTGTCATTATCTCAGCACCGATTCCTGGTCTGATTACTCATTTCACACACCTGCTTAGCTCCACCCAGTTCTCATTACCCGCACATCTTATCCACTTGCATTAGTCTCTATTTAACCAGCCTTAAGAGCAGTCATCATTGCCAGATTATTTCAAGCCATTGGTGAGACTTATTCTATTGTTGTCATGGTTTTGGTTATGCTATGCTTTACTTTGCTCCTTGTTTTCTAGTTTGTATTGGTTTAATTCCTATTTTGTTGTAATTTCTAGATTTATGTTAGTTCTCATGTTGTCCTCTGTTGCCCTCTTGTGTGTATGTGTGTTCCTTTCCCCTTGGCTCCCTTGTTGTCTCCTCACACCTGCTCCTTGTCAGCTCGTTAGCCCTCCCTCTCTGTCAGCTATTTATGCTCTCCCTCTGCTCTCACTCTTTGTTGGTTCCTCTGTTGTTGCTGGTCCTGTCATCGCTGCAATTGTCTCCCCTCGTCTCTCCCTGGCTCCTTCTACGTGTTTTCCCTTAATGTCTCCATGGTTCTGGTCTGTTACTTTTTAGTTGGATTTTTGGACTGCCTTTGTTAACCATTTTCATAAGTAAACTACAAGTATTTACCTCAGCCTCTCTGCCTCTGCATTTGGGTCCTCCAAACCTCAACCAAACCCTGACAATTGTTCCTGTGTTCAGACTACCTTAGCCTGACCTGTTATGCCTCTCGATCTCTTAGCCTGCCTGTTCCCATCTAATCTGTTTGCCTGACCTGTCGTCTGACTCCTGGTCAGACTCCTGGCTCTTACAACCGAATGAGCCCGCTCTGTGCCGTCCAGCGACCCCTGAGCCCGCTCTGTGCCATCCAGCGACCCCTGAGCCAACTAACAAAAGGGCCTCAGAGTTAAAGCTCAGCGGGCGCTCCAAGCCTCCAAGAGCCCTCTGCGGGCGCTCCAAGCCTCCAAGAGCCCTCTGCGGGCGCTCCAAGCCCCTCGGAGGCTGTACCTGAGCCGCAGTGGGCGGCCCCTTCCGAGTCTGTTCCTGAGCCGCAGTGGGTGGAGCCCCCCTCCGTGGTTCCTGCAGCGTCGTCAGAGACGTTGTCGGCGACCTCCTTCAGAGACCCTCCGTCGTGAGAGACGGCGTCGCCGTCGGCCGCCTCCAGAGCTTCTGCCTCGTCTCCGGCCCCGCGGCCGGCCTCCAGAGCTTCTGCCTCGCCTCCGGCCCCGCAGCCGGCCTCCTGAGACTCTGCCTCCCCTCCGGCCCCGCGGCCGGCCTCCTGAGACTTTGATTCTCCTCCGCCCACCCTGGGTGGGTTGTTTTGTTTTTTGGACTCTGACTTTTGTTTTGTGTTTCTTGCCCTCCTTCCTGGTTCCCCCTCTGCCCACCCTAGGTGGGTTGTTTTTTGTTTCTGGACATTTTAGGGCGTCTGGGATCTGCCCTTATGTGGGGGGTACTGTCATGGTTTTGGTTATGTTATGCTTTACATTGCTTCTTGTTTTCTAGTGTTTATTGGTTTAATTCCTATTTTGTTGTAATTTCTAGATTTATGTTAGTTCTCATGTTGTCCTCTGTTGCCCTCTTGTGTGTATGTGTGTTCCTTTCCCCTTGGCTCCCTTGTTGTCTCCTCACACCTGCTCCTTGTCAGCTCGTTAGCCCTCCCTTTGTCTCTGTCAGCTATTTATGCTCTCTCTCTGCTCTCACTCTTTGTTGGTTCCTCTGTTGTTGCTGTTCCTGTCATCGCTGCAATTGTCTCCCCTCGTCTCTCCCTGGCTCCTTCTACGTGTTTTCCCTTTATGTCTCCATGGTTCTGGTCTGTTACTTTTTAGTTGGATTTTTGGACTGCCTTTGTTAACCATTTTCATAATTAAACTACAAGTATTCACCTCAGCCTCTCTGCCTCTGCATTTGGGTCCTCCAAACCTCAACCAAACCCTGACAATTGTTCCTGTGTTCAGACTACCTTAGCCTGACCTGTTATGCCTCTCGATCTCTTAGCCTGCCTGTTCCCATCTAATCTGTTTGCCTGACCTGTCGTCTGACTCCTTGTCAGACTCCTGGAGGCGTCAGACTCCCAACCGAAAACATCCCTGACATATGCTCTGGCTTTGCCCTCTGGATTATTCTGCCTACATCCATCTGCTTGGTTCTTATCTCCTGCTTGTCGCCTGCCCTCTGATATATCTGCGTCTGGGGCTCCCTGTGCGGCAACCCCTGCCCCATGTTGGCAGCCAGCCCGCTGGAACAATCCTCTACCTCTGGACTCATACAGAACTAGAAGACCAGGTTAGTGTATCACTTGTTCATGATCATCCACTTCCAGAAAGACGTGGTCACTAACCTTCTGTCTCCACCTACAAAGGTTCCTTCGTTAGATGACGATGCTGCCCACTCCGATTCAGTTTTCAATAAATGCTCTGAGAGATCTGTTTTTCCACCTTGAATACTAGATCCTTCAGTTCTGAGCCTGGCACCAAGCATTTCCCCCTCTGTTGTTTAGTCAAAACTTCTTATCCCTGTTCTGATTTTTCTTAGTCTTGTCCTTGTATTATTTTCAGGGACGTCCGGATCAAGTTTTTTTTTTTTTTTGCCTCCAATAACAAATCTCAGGGATTTATGGGTAATCAGAGATATTTTTGACATCAGTGCCATAAATATGATTTAAACGGCACGACATTTATATAACTGGCCATAAATCTGAAAACCAAGACCAAAGTAGAATGTTTTTTCACTGTGTTGAATATATTGGCATAGCCAGTTTTAATATATAAATGTTTTTCTGCAAATCCTCTGTTTACTGTGTAAAAAGTTTCAGATCTAAACAAAGCAACTCCTGCATTCCAGGCATATAAACTCAGAAACATCACAGGGTTTAGAATGAGAAGGGAAATTCACTTGTAGGATGATGATATTTTATGTCCCCATTTTAATTTTACCTCTCTCTATGAAACACTTTAGGCATATTACCTGTGGCTGCAGAAAACCCTTGAATCATAGGATGAGAAGAAGAGCTTGAGCCAAAGTAATGTTTTCATTTTGGGATATTGAGGGATTGTCGCACACTATAGTCAACACAGCACCCGGTTCAATTATGAGCAAGTAGTGAAATTAAGTTCGCTCACCCAGTATAACACAACAGGCAAGAGCAAAATTAACAAATCCATTATTTGAGAGGGTGTGTTGATGTAGGCATGTTTCACTGTCACATATAAAGGGCATGCTTGCTGGCTTGGATGAGAATTAATCAGAAACAGGGTAACCTTGCTGGATGTGATATTTTCTATTGACTGTTTCATATAATAATTGTTTTGAATCTGTGCAGTGTTTGTCTTTGTCATAATTAGTTTTTCAATAAGTTTTAGAAAATCAATGGATTTTGGAATAAAATAAAATGATCACAGCAGATTTAGAAGTGGTCTGGAGTTTGTTTGGAGTATGTCTTACATAGATACTTTATGTGAGGTTAGCTTGCATTGGCCCTCAATTATTAGTTTTACTGCATAATCAAGCAGACTTGTCTGTTGTATGTAATGCATGTAAATGCATCAATCAAATGAAAAGTAGAAACAGAAACAAATTTCAGATACATTATGGATAGTTTCCTACCAGTAAATTTTCTAAGGACTTATTTGTTCCACCACTTGTTTCAGCCTCTCAGTAGCATCTGTTACTGCTCATAAAAAAGTTGCTTATTAAGCGCAGTATAATAATGGCAGCAAATAAATCCAAAATGCAAATCTTGCTCATCAGAAATTATAACCATCTATCTCACTATCTATCACCACAAATATATGTTGCTTCAATCTCTCCTATCTCTTTCTGTTTTTTGTATTTTTTGGAAAATGTTTTGTCTGCAATACTTCACACTAGAAGCTGGACATCATTTGTCTTATTAATCTGTAACTCCTTCCTAACCACCTGGATTTTAACTTTATTGCAAAGCATTTTGTTTTCTTCTCCCCCAGTTTTTCCCTGTAATTGCACCATTAATAAGAAGACAAACTAGAATATTTAAAAGCAAATGTAAGGTGTAGCATCATTAATCTAGATTAAGTGTGAGGATGTAGAAGTTCTAAATCATCAGTGATACCTTACATTTCACTGACTACAACACAAAGCACCTCTACATTTTGCAACAAGATCACTGTTTATATTTTGATTCATGTTTATTATTGTTTTAGCTAATGTGACATCATATTAATATATTAGCTTATGATTTAAAGTTCAGAAAGAGCTACGAGAGTAGAAATTCCTACCGCAGTTTGAAGTTATTATTTCTGGGACACAAGTAGTGAAGAAATGGGTAGTAGAGGGAAACTGAGTTTGCAAAAAAGAAAAGTTCTTGTTTTATTTCCCACGCTGATGAACATTTGATGAGGCGCTGGGTTGTTCCAAAATCTGTATAAAGCTGCTTCCAGCTAGAGAAAAAAATCCTGACATGGCTTTCAAGAACTCAGGAACAGAAATTTGGAGACACACGATAAGCTGTGTGTTCAGGCATACAAAGGAACGGGATGGTTAGAGACGAAACATCAAAGACCAAAGAGGTGTTCTGGGATGAGAAAAAGGCTATAGGGAACACAAAGGTACTCTTTAGCTTAGATCTAAGACCTGCTGACATTTTACCACCTGTTTTATTTGAAACCCATAGTGAATTAAACTTTTTTTTTTTTTTCATATTAATTTCCTATTGAGATCCAAATGCATGGGTTACAAAACCACAGCTTTTTAAAGACCTTTGATGAGGTCATATATGCATTCTTTCGACAGCTTTGCACTTTACTCATTAAGATAATAGACTTGTTTTACATTAAGAAACAAAAAAACAACCAGACATCAAGCCATTTCATCTTAGTTTTATCCAACCACACAACTTGCCTCAAAACATTTTTGTCATGAAGTGAATTTAAAAAGTCTAATCTGACTTTTTATAGTGATCTTTGAGTAATGTCTTCTTCCTTGCTGAGTTGCATTTTGTTTTAGGTTGATTCATGACTCATATCACTGTGGATAAAGACACTGTCACACCACCTTTCACCAGCATCTTTGCAAGCCTCTTTGCTTTCCTTGTGGTGTTGATAAACATGTATCGATGGGAGGGGAAAAAGTGTTCCCTCTCTGGGACACAGAGCCCTTCTCTTTTCTGGGCCTCTAAGTGCCCTTTCTGTTAATATAAAAACATGTATCAGTAATATTATTCTCCATGGTATTTTGTAAGAGAAATAACATAAGAACACCCCCTAGTAAGAAACAAAACGAATGTAACAGTAAAACAGATGCAGCAAAACAAAGAAGCATAAAAAAATCCCAACTGCTCCTTATGCTTGAATATGGATACCTGCTGTTTCTTATGGTCTGAATTTAATCACATTTATCAGCTTATTTAGATTTTTAAACGAATCCCTGGAGCAGGCATCCCCAATGCTATAAATTAATACTAAATTAATACCCTGGTAAAGTGAAAAGGTAGGGTAAACTATAGCTCTTATAAAATGTATGTAATGACTGAGGGAGTAACGTATTAAAAACATGGTTTATGTTTTGGTAACAAAAATAAATTCTTCTTCTTCTTCTATTCTATATTCTGTGATGTGATTAGCTTTAATATTTTCATTTAATGAATCTAGGAATTACACATCCAAAATAGAGTAAAAGAGTTGACCTCATGTTTCTGTTTTTTAGATTTAAAATTTTTTTTTTTTAATACTTAAAAAACAGTAGTATATTAAAATACTGACACACCAGGAATGTGCAAAGATGTGAAAAAGCATTTCAAATAATTACATTGTTACTGCAATGAAAGTATGGAGCTAACGTAGGGCCATTCAAAGGAAAGAGAATGAAATTGAAATAATATGTTTAATCCCCCTCTGGTAGCTGTACAATTTCTCTTTCCGCTTGATCTAACGGCTGCTTTTGAAACAGTGAACCATCATATTTTAAAAAATCATCTGAATCAATTAGTAGGGATCCACCACACTGCTCTTCATCCGTTCAGCTCACATCTGACCGACCGATCTTTCTATGTCAAAATTGGCAACAGCGAATCGTCAAGTGCTTCTTTATCATTCGGAGTCCCACAAGGCTCAATTTTAGGGCCCCTGCTCTTGTCTCTGTATCTGCTGCCACTCAGTTCCATACTGAGAAGACATGGGCTTTATTTCCAATTTTATGTTGATGACTTCAAAATCTATTTGCCCCTAAAGCAGGGAGATGGTTTTTCAGTGAAGTCTCTATTGAATTGTTTTGATAACCTTAAAGCCTGGCTTGCCCTAAACTTTTTAAATTTTAACGAGAATAAAACTGAGCTTATAGTGTTTTGACCCAATCGCCCTTGTGACTCCACTACTATAGACCTACAGTAGGTCCCCTTACACCATGTTCTAAATTGACTGCCACAAACTTGGGTTTTAAGGTGGAGAGTCATTTTAAAATAGAAAAGCAAATTAGAGCAGTTTTCAGATATTGCTTTTATCAGTTAAAGGTGCAGTGGGAGATCTTTTCTGACACATTTTTTTATCATGTGGCTTCAAGATCTCCTCACAGCCGCTTAGCAAGCAGTGAAATAGAAGGTCTGGAAGTGAAAATAAATTAAATACTGCAGTGAGAAATCAATGAATAACCTAAACCGATCACACAAGACCGTCCGTTGTACACAATTGGTTCCATGACATGTCAATCATGGTCGTCTGCTAGTTCCTCCTCCCTGTGCGCGTACCCTGACACATGAATGAATCGACCCCGCATTGCTCATGCAGGGCACCATAGCTGGAAGTTAGCCACTGTTATGCAACGTTCACACCTATGGTGACCAAATTTCAGTTTCTGAAAAGGAGGAGCTACTGTCACCGGATCAGTTTCGGTCACTCTGTTCACAGCCCCGACCAGCCCAGGAGCTCACGGCTCGGTTCTGCTGCACTGTAGTCGACCAAAATCCCATACAATTTTCACACCTAAAGCAGCAAGAGCAGCAAAAACACGCTTGTTGCTTAATTTTTTATGCTTGTAAAAGTTTAGTCCTGATGCGCGGTTGAAGCAGCTTTGCTACTATGGCTGCGGGGCCGGAAAAAAATAGGTCTGACGCGCGTTGGGCGGAGCTACCCTATCCTTTCTTTACCTGTAACAATGGCAGCTATATTCGCTGTGATCAGTGGGTAAAAAGTTGTTTGAATCTATTTTTAAGTGAGAAAGTCCACCTGAAAACATCATCAGTGCAGTCAGTTCATCAACATTACCATCTTCCCTTCAAATATTATTTCTGTCGCAGCTGCTCAGAATGCTGTACACTGGCAGTGTGCTATCACTAGTAGGAATCCCGTTCAACAACAGCCTATGGCCCGGTCGCCTCCTCACGGTTTGCCGCGGAGGCTGGAAGGCATTTTTCATGTATGTAATCGAAAGGCACCATGATAATAAAAGCAAACATTTTTCCAGGCAGATTTCGGCATTTTAAGTGAATTTAGGAGTTAATAAACTGTTTCAGAGGAATGATAATAGCACTCTGCATCGCTGCATCAGCGCTGCAGACAGCATGCACAATCATGGGTTTTGTATCTTTATGGTCTGCAGGGAGAGGCATAGTTGTGTATGTTCAAAAAATAGCTTGCAGGAACTGTTTTTCCAAGATCTCCTACAGCACCTTTAAGACAATTGGCAAAGCTAAACCTTTTCTTTCAAGGATACCCTTTGAAACAGTTATCCATGCTTTTATTTAATCTCGATTGAAATAACATTCCACTTGGGAGTATTGCTGCTGCAACCTCTTGGTTTAGAGGGAAAATGTTTGTCCCGGAGGTGGAGAATTAGGTCAACATTGGGACAAGAAAACACCTAGTTAATAGCGCTCATGAGTTGCCCAAGCATTGGCTATGAGGGTGGCCACGGCCACCGCCCCTGGTGGCCTCCTCTTTGTTTTCTCCCCAGTCAGAGGTTTCATTATACCAAGTGTGAGAACGCACCAGGAGTTCTGACCATAGCCATCAGTTGCTGTCACTTTGCAGATTAAGTGCTACTTTAAAACAGCCACTTTGACTCCACCTTGAATAGAAATGATTGTGCTCTCCCTTACTTCATAATCGCCGTTTTTTTGTAAAGTTGTTAATATTTGCATATTAGTTCAAAATCAAAAATTTCTAAAATGTAGATTAACATATAAAAGAATTAATTGAAACATCTATACCGTTTGAGAAAAAAAGTACTCAAAAAGTAGCTCAAGATGATCATGCATTTTATTGTAAATGAGACAAACAAGACATTTATTGTAAGGTCAACATTTAAGCAAACAACATGAAAAAAAAGACATACAAACATCTAAAAAAGAAATATCTTCAAACAAATTAGCAGAATTATAGAGGAAGTGTGCTGAGCACACTGTTATTCCTCTCTAATAAAGTCATTTTGCTAAAGTTTTTTACAGCAGTTCTTATCAGGGTACATTCAAGTGTAAACATTGGTATCAGGCAAGACATAACAGCTTGGTTGCATTATTAGTAGTAAAATGCAGGACTCAGAGGTAGTCCCTGTTGGTTCCAACACAATATTGTGTCTGCAGTCAGTCTGTGAGAACTTTCATGTCCTGATAGCTGGTTTTTAACCCTGCTTTTGGTAAACATCATAAACATGATAAGTGTGTGTCATTTAGGAACATTATGCCTTGGTCCCGCAAAGATTAATACAAATGTACAAGTTAATCAGTACTTATAGTGTGCAAGGACACAAAGTCCACTTCCTTCTCTCCTCTGTCTTTGTTCTCTCTTAAATGATTGTTTTGTCTAGGGCACTTGTGACAAAAGTTTGCAAGAGAAAAATTGACTACTTGAGCTACATTTCACTTTATAGTTTCTAATAACAACCGAGTTCTGTTCAAAAGTACACTTAACTTTAAGGACTTCAACACAAAGAATGGATAGAGATTTAAACTTTAGATATCTTGCATTGCCAGTTTATTTCCTTTCAGGATATTGTTTTGGAGATTTGTGATTGGAAATTGACAAAAAAAAAACTAATAAACAGGAAAAAAGGGAAACAGGCTTAATATTTATTTAAATAAGCTCTATGGCAGAAAGGAAGGACACTTATTTTACACCATTTCCTTTTGGTTTCTATTATGATAAAATTTATCCTCTTTTAAGGGCAAATATCTTCACGTCTTGGAGCTGTAAAATATAGAAAAACATGGAGGGCATAAAACATAAAATAATAAAAACATCCAAATAATTTATTTTATTTTAATTGGATTGTTTTTGACAGCAAAAAAGGTCATTTAAAACAGCAAGGGAATATTGCATGTGGATGATAACCTGTAATCTGGATGCTAATTTCTTGATATAATTTAATTTAACATTGGGGAATAAACTGTTTATTGATGTAAACAACCTTTCTAATGGAAATACATGTTACCACCTACACCACTGAAGCTCCTTTTGAGCATTACATGTATCAGATATAAAAGTTATGACTTTTACAGCATTTTTCTCAACATCTACTATTGGCTGCAGATCACATTAAATAATAACAGTTGTTGGGGCTGTTTTCAGTGACTTATCTGTTTTTTCACATTTTCTTGCCTTTGATTGCAAATGAAATACATTTATGAAGTTAGATTTTTTCTTTTGTACCTAAGCAAAGAGAAGGGCTTTTGACTGCAAGTGCCATCTGATAACTTCTAAGTATTTCAAGTTTTATTCAATTTAGTTGGAGCATAATTAATTGATCACAAAAGAAAGTTAAATCAATCTCTTTGGTAAAAACAGAATTCTAAGTAAAGCATAAACTGATTGATTAAATAAAAAAAAGTTCATTAGAAAGTGGTTTATTGTTGTAACATAGTTTATGGGAGAACCAGCACCTTTGTTAGAATAAGGATATGCTTAGAAATCCAGTTACTTAAGCAGCCCTGAATGCTACCATAACTAAATTATTTTAAATCAAAATGTTTTTTCCAGCATGTCATCCGGCACTTTAGCTCTTTAACACTTTTTTTTAATTCCCTCTGCAGATTGCTTACATGTTAGGTGTAGAGATCCCAAATTAAATTCATTAGAATCCAGATCTTTATAATAGGTCTTTACTTTAGATCAAGATATTAGGAACACAAATTTTGTCTTGGATGGAAATGGTGTTATGCACTGATTTGCAAGGTTGACAATTGAATCATTAATGTCAAAAAAATGCTAGCTATTATTGCATTTTTCTTATGCTTTTCTTTATATTATTACTTTTGTTTTGGTCATGACTGAATTGAAAAGGAAAAGCTATAAAATGGATGTTAAATGCCCTTTAAATAAGAATTTTCTCTCTGCTTTACTTTGTTTGTTTATAGACTTATATGCCTTTAACAGGGATTTGAGAGTAAAAAACCTTTAAACCGCATCAATAGTTTTGATTTTTGTCTTGAAGAATATCTCGGTAAAAATTGGCTGCAACAGAAAAACATGGTTCATGGTAAATACTCTAGTCTCCTCTTAACGTATTTCCTTCGGACAGACCGCAAAGGAGCTGACAACAGGGTCAACGAACTTTACTATGATAAAGTTTCATTCACCTTCCAATACTTTCCCTTAGAAAAGAAAAACTAACAAAAAAATGACTAGACCCGACACCAGTGTCCTTTCCAAGGACTTCCTGTCAGTTCTTACATTAAAAAGAATGATTGGATATTATTTTATTAAGGATCAAACACCCTTATGAGGGTTCTTTGTCTCTTCTGCATGCTTGGATGATCCACATGGCTCACCAGAAAATTCTTCAACCTTGGCTGCTGACAGTTTGCTGGATATCTGGGCTCCCGTATGTGATAATGGTGCCCCCTGCTGAGCACCAGGACTGGTCTTCGGGTCACTTACAGGACTTGTCAGACCCATGCTGGAAAGAGCGTCCAGGGTGCCATCTGGGTCCACCATCATGTCGATAACTGTTTGTTTAGAGTAGCACAAACATGCAAGAACACAATAAATTTACATTGATTACAGGACAGCAGTAACACACCCATATTAATCATAATGACCTATTGTTTTGGCTATTTCATATAGCTTTTTCATATTTCTGTTGAAAAAATGGAAATACCTGAAAGTTGCCTTTCCACTCTTTTCAGGTCTTGAATAACTGTTGAAATCTCCTGTTAAAAACATAACATAAAAGATGAAGGCTGCCTGAGGAGTGATTAAGTCTAGCAGAACTTCATGCACTGAATAAAACAGCTCAATTAATCTTCTCTGCTCCAGAGAAGGATTTGGAGTGAAGCCCTTAACAATGAATAATACTTTATGAGCTTTGTGACTTGGTCAGACCTTTTTCTCTCAGGATCATCTGAGGACAATCTGTAAAATGTATATCCCTGTCCCCGAAAAAAAAAAGTTTTATGAGGCTAAGTTTGGAATCTGTTTACTCTCCATACTTCGTGGGAAGTCTCTTTCAGTGAGCCCCAGGGCAGCTGTGGCTACAATGTAGTTTGCCACCATCAGTGTGTGAATGGGTGAATGACTGAATGTAGTGTAAAGTGCTTTGGTCAAGTCTCCTGACTTGAAAAAGCGCTATGTAAGTACAGGCCATTTACCGTTTACTATAAATATTGAATTGGAATCAAATTACAATGTCTTTCAAAAGTATTTGGCTCTCTTAAGGAACCCAATGTAAAAGCAAAACCCCTCTCCCCTTGACAATAAAAAAAAATCTACCAAAGTTGGCAGTGCCAGGAGCCTGCGAGGGATTCGGCAAAGAGTATGAATGAGCTGAGGAGTTTAAGTAAGGGTGTGAACAAGAAAGTGACAGTGAATTTAATATAACAAAGCACCTAAATAAAAATGAGGGAAAGGCAATACAATGCTCACCAATGCTACCAATCAATTATTTTATGATTTCAACATTTAATTTTCCTGCATTTTATGTTCAGACGGGTTTTACTAGAGAAACATGATAACTTTAGTTTTCATTGTCGCTAGAATAAGACTTGCTTTCTATAAACTCAGTATCAGACAAAAATCTCAAATAGGACAACTTCATGCAAGCAGTGGACTAATTACATTTTGTACTGTCTCCTAGGAGAGCATTTAAATATGCTGTTAGCTTTCTTGAGGAAAGCCTGCTTAAAGACCATGCTGTATAATCAAGACTAAATAATAGAAAAGGACTGAAGGAGCCATCACCTTGTTGGAGCTTTTGAGAACTAAGGAGTCATGTTCTGCCTGCAGTTTGGTCTCAATCTCGTCCCATTTCCGTTCCTTATCCTTGAAGAGGATCCTGGTTGCAGAGTAGTAATAAAAATAGATGAAAGCACATTTGAAGAAAGATGCTTAATAAAGTAATCGTTAGATGTACTGGCTGACAGTTCAAGTCATTTGTTTCTGGCAATGTCTGCAAATTGAAAAACAATAAAACATTTGAGCTGTCACCATAATGAGCAATGTGCTTTTGTCTGACAGAGTAAAGCTCTGTGATATACTATTCAGATTGTACCAGTTGGTCAAGTTAGAACAGGAAACGCAGACTAGAACATAAATATTACAAAATACTATAATATGTGTCAACAGAGTGCATTCAATATTTCCTCTGAAAACAAGGTGACAAGACACAGAGGAATTATGGTACGTGGCTTACCTGACTTTACAGGCAGTTTTGTCCACAGACTGCCGTATTCTGGTCGAGAGTTGAGTCACAGAAGTGAGCAGCACATTGTCAAAATACAGCTGATGGATAAAGATAAAAAAGACCAAGTATTCTAAGTGTATTTACTCTTGTGGGGATGTTCCTGTAACTTCTTTACATTTTAAATTAAGTTGAAACAGAATAAACACAAGGATTTTGTAAAGCAATGAATTCAACAGTACTTTGACTTGGACAATGTGATGAGCGTTCTTTTCCTAAATATTTGACAATTAGCAATTGTTTATGAAGGCGCACAGTATGTGCGAGACGTTTTTTTTTCTTTGCAGGTTGAGGAAACTGAAAACCTGACCCAGTTTATGTGACCATATTGGTGATGGAATGCATAATGTGGGATTTTGTAAACTGAAATCAAACCCACTTCCATTGCAAGTTCTTCCAGGACTGCCCTATAGTGACTGTAGCAGTGTCCATCTTTAAATTAATTCTAATGTGTTTCCCTTTCACAATTGAGGGAAAGGATCCCCACACCATGATGCTCCCCCCACTATGGTCACTTATCTATTAAACGTTAGTCGATCAATGACATCATTCGTATTCATGCATTGACAACTTGTATCCACATTATCTATGAAAGAAGCCAACATGACTGCACCAAGTTATTGATCTTACAGAAATGTGTCCTCCCCAGCAGCACTGTTATATTTGAAAACACCTGTTCCAATGTTCAACTAATTTTGGATAATGTTAGATAATGGTCTAACTTAGACTCACATCATCTCTATTCCATGTTTGCCGCCGGATAGAGCGAGAGCTCTGTTCATTTGAACTGCGTTGTCGGAGCTCCACAGCTTGCCCATCAGCTCCCAGAATCCCACTCTGCTCTGCAGTGGGACCTCCCAGATCCACAACATCATTAAATACAGACTCCTTTAGCTGAAAGAAAATAAAAAATTATTCTATGAGGTAAGTTAGAGCAGTATAAAATGGATGAGAAAAATATTTGTTTCCTTAGCAGTTCCTAAATAGTAAAGCTGATGTTCTGAAGTTAAAGCATGCAAAAAAAGAAGATCTGTACTGCCAATGTTTCTTATGTAATGCAACATGAATACCAGAGCTCCAGGGTCAGTAGCTGCAGGGCTGACTGAGTCAATCTCTCCAGCCACATCATGAATCTCTTGGGCCAGCATGGCTAAATCTTTAGCTAAATCCTGGCTGATCCTGATTTACAAATAAAAAGTAATGCCATCAGAAACATGAAACCTTACAAACATTAACTTTAATGTTATTTTGCTATATTTATTATCCACACTTCATTTGTAGACATACCAGTCTATCAGCATAACTGCACAAATAAAAAGCAATCAAAATACTCTATTTTTTAAAAGCAGGAAAAACATCTTTGAAGAGAGGTAACATTACTCATTCCTGCATAAAAAAATGAACTTTATATTTAATGCTTTTGAACTCTTCTTCCACACATACCTGGCTATTTCTTCACTGTGTGCTGTCCAGTCTCTCATGTAGTCATCCTGCTCCCTGGAATTTTGCTTCAAGCTGGCCAGACCTGCAGGGTTGGGTGTAGCTGGAGCTGATCCTCCTAACTGGGCCACTCTGGTTGAAGGGAACGGCCTCGTTTGCCCCTGTTTAGATGTGTGGCGATTTGAGCCATACTCATCCTCTGAGGTGGACGCATACTCTACAGGAACACGGCGCCACCGAGTTCCAGCTGAACAGAATATGCAAAGGGATTAAACGTCTAATGCTCAAACATGCTTCTTAACGAAGAATATGTGAAAGTATCAACTAGGCATCGCTAGATTTGCTAGTATCAAGGTAAATCTATTTTTTAAATAATAGTAAAAAGAATAGAATAAGATTACCATCATAACATTAAGATGGGTTAACCTGTGCTGAACTATTTTTTCAGGCTGCAAAATAAAATTTAAAAAAGTACTGCCCCTGCTCCACCTATTGCTGCAAACTGGAAATCAGGTGGCTAAAAGAAATGCGTTTTACTTTTCTCGTATTTAATTCAAGTAGGATTTAAAAACCCAAATGCCATGAGAAAATAAAAACACCCCCACATACCCTCCTACATTCAAAGGTGTAGCTTATACAACCTAAACATAAAGCCTGGATGTCACCAGGTTATTGGGCATGTTATATATTCAGACCACAAAAATATCTTTGTCAGTATCAGTTTGCGCCTGACTTTCAAATGTACTAAATATAGATAAAAATACTGTGCCTGCAGTTACTTTGAGGATTTAGAAATATATACACTTGCATGTCCTCCACCCTTAAACTTGGATTATTTACATTTAAAACATGATCTGCATGTTTATGAAGGCACACACTGAAAAGTCAGAAAAGTGAAAAGTCTGCATACGCTGTCTGTTGAATTGCACACCAAAACAGCTTTACACCTTCTATAAGGATCTGCTCTGGGTGCAAAGAGGTTTCCACATGTATTAAAAAATGGTAAGCTTTTCAAGATTAAGACCAAGTTAAAATTAAGTAACTAGTTTATGTGGACAAACTTTAGGTTCCTATATCATATACTCTCCAGTCCACAACTCTGCTCTCACAGCAGAAACACATCAAAGGTAACAACATTATGTCACATAGTCACATGATGTGACATATTGTTGTCCAAATTGCACCTTGTTTCTTAAGATTTGAACCAATGGATCACTGTTTTTCTGCTCACCAGCATATACAGGAATGTATGAAGTGCAATGGCAACTTCAAAGAGAAGACAAGCTTCATTTTCCAGCAATATTTCTTCTTGCATAAAAATCCCAAAGAAATGTTAAAGAAATACCCATTGTCAGCATCAGTTTTTTTATCTTCTAAAAACCTCAAGGTTAGAAACTAAAAGCTGACGCCTAGTATCAACCATGATGTTCGTGACAAACAACACATGTTCTAGGGAAATACTCTCAACTTACATGAAGGTGTGATATGCCCATATGATGAAGTTCCTTTAGTTTTATCAGGCAGCTTGGAAGCACTATTAGCTCTGGCTCGAGGTCCGGACAGTGAGCCTACATTTGAACCTCTCAATCCTTGCCGGAGTGCATATTCGCCTGCCGTACTTCGAGCAGCCAGTCCTCTGCTTTTTGCCACAGTTGCTTCTGAGTCGCTCTGGGCAGACGGAGACCCAACTCTAGGTCTCCTTGGCTGTGCTAGAGCCTCTATTCTAGACATTCCCCTTCTTGCAATCCCTGTCCTTGATGTGGAGCTGGCAGTGGATGCCTCAGAAGCTACTGACATCCTGTCAATATCAGCAGGTTCGGTATCTGAGGAATCTCCCAGCCGAGCTCGCCTCAAAAGGGATGTCCGAGTAGGTCTTGGCTTGGGAGCATTACTGCTTTTGCTTTGAGCAGAGGGAACTAAAGCCTGCGTAACCTTAGCCCGGCTGGACTTGGTGCTGGCCCCAACTGTTTGGGATCTATGGTTTGAGACCTTTGATTCTTGTGTGTCAGAGAGGACAGAGTTTGAGTTGATATCATCATCAGTGAGGTCCAGGGAAGTAGAGGGGTGACTTGGCTGTTGAGGGCCAGATGTTTTGCTCTTCCCCCTCCTTTCTTGAGGTGCTCGGCTTCCAGCAGGGCCTTTGTTAGAGGTGCATAATACTGTCCTTTCCTTCTGCTGCCCTGCTAGGATACGGCGTTTCTGAACTACTTTTCTGACACCATCGGCTTGGCTAATCGTGCTTGTTGTATCAACATCTGATTCTGGAGACATGGAACCTTCAATAGATTGACTGGGGGGGTCGCCTTGGTCTGACACAGTGCTCTCTAGAAAAGCGGCCACAGCTTCTGAGTCTTTTTGAAGTGCAACATTATCTACGCCCCCTGCTGTACTATGATTTTTGGTACCTGTATAGGCATCAATACGTGGGATGAGTTCTATTGGTATGCTGGTGCTTGGTTTCTCCACAGTGAAGCTCTCCTGCCTCAGCAATGGTTTCCCAGTGCTATCCCTAGCCTTCTCCTCCTCTTTTTTTCTCCTCCGTGACTCCTCCAGTCTCTTCTGTCCACTGGTAATTGGACATGGAGGGAGCTTTATCAGGACACCTGACTGACTTGATTTACCACCACCACTGTCCTGTGATTTGGCTGGAGAAGATCGACTGGGGCTGCCGACACCCTCGATGCCTTGACCACTATGGATTCTTCCTCTTGACGACCTTTCCTCTGGGTTCTCTTTCTCCTGAAGCTCTGTGTCCTGCTTTTCACCCGTATCTGTGTGCAGACACCCACCGGGGGACCTTCTTCCCAAAGCAAGCTCTTCATCAGGTAGTTGGGGTAAGGTTCTTCTTTTACGTTCTTTGTGTGAAGAGGCTATGTGGCTGGATTCTGCAGACAGGACAGGATATCTTTTTATGAATGTTCAGTAGTGGCAGGTCCTTCACATTGAAAAATTGTCTTTAGGTATGTGTCTTACTACGCAGAAAGGTATAACATTAAAATTGGTGGAACATTTTGAGCTAATGAAATTAAATACAAAATAGGGGTTACTATGTATTTTTAGGGTGTTTGCAATTTAATTTAAACAGTAGAAAAATAGCAGTATGAACATTTTTATTTTGCTTTAAAACAGTTCAATTCAACTGGCAGGCTTTTCCTTGTGGTTTTCAAAAAGAGCAATATGTCCTTCCTTTCTTGACTTTACATATTTTAACCATGATTTTAAAAATGAACAGAACTCTGGAAAACAGAGTCTATGAAGCAGCATTAAATTTAGTATTACCATAACCTATGACTTCTGGATATATTATAATTTTTTTAATCATCAAGTCTATTCAAAATACGACATCCAGACTTCTAATTAAATCAAGTAAGTCCTCCCACCCCACACCAGTCTTACTCTCTTTAGAATGGCCCACAGCTGATTTCAGAGTCTGATTCACAATTCTTGTTCTCACCTAAAGGGACAACATAACCCGGCTGCAAGGCTGAAAACTGCAGGGTAGAAGGTCTTTTAGTTTGTGACTCTGAAATTGTGGAACAGCCTTACATTTAAACTTTGTTTAAATGTCATTTTAAAAAGCCGGGAAACTGTTCTGTTCCACCAGGCTTTTATCTCATATTTTTTCGTGTTTTTTACTGTAGATTTTTCCTGATATTCCTCTGTATCAACGCAGAGGAATAGACTTTACTTACTTAATTTTAAAAGGTTTCTCTCAGTGATTAGGAAATTTTTTTTTAAAGATACCTACATCATTGCTTTAAACAGCCACTACAATAAAAATCCATTGCCAATGGAATTAGAACATTTGGTGCATTTGAGTGTTAGTAGGATGGGAAGACCATGGAAAAAACAATAAGACATTTCAAGACACATCAAGGAAATCATGTGAGTGTTGATCAGAAGTCAACCTTAACTGTGTACCTCTGCTCTCTGAGACCATGGTGTGACTGTCCCCTCCTGACCCTTCAGGGTCTGTACGAATGTGGCTTGCAGCAAGAGTGGCCCACTGTGACACCCAGCGAGGACCACCCACCATCAAATCTTCAGACAAGATCTAAGCCATAAAATAGTTTTTACTTATCTGCTAAAAAGATGTCTAAACTTGTCTAAGTATTTAAATTATAAGTTTAGATATGCTTTTGCACCTCTGCCTCTAGACGTCCAGTCTTTTCTCTGTCTCTTGAACCAGACCTCTGGGAAGACAGTCGCTCTCTTTGGTCAGTTCCTCCCAGCCTAGAAATATGCTGGTCATCCAAACCAAACACCTGAAAGATGGAAGAAATAAAGTCATTTTTGTGATCTGATTGAGGAAAAAGGTAGAGAAAGGAACTTCTAACCTATACCTTGTCAATCAATTTCCGAGCCTCTTTCTCTTCATAGTTCCCATTCTCCAGCTCAATGACGTAAGTTCCTCTGTCACTATATTCATCTCTATGTCCATAACACTCGTCCCGGCCACTCTGGTGATGTGGTGCTGAGCCACGTCGCCTCTCCGCCAACCCACTTTGCCTTTTGGAAGTTGAAGACTTGCAACGCCGTGCAGGACTGTCCTCTTCTGCAAACAGGCCCTCTGGTACATTTGCGCGACCTTCTTTAAAGCCAGCACTGCCCCAAAGCCCCCATGAGCGCTCCTCAACTGCTGTAGCCCTGCGCTTCTCTCCATGAGCATTCTCTGAGTCACTTTGAGTGCCATCCTCATGTTTACTGCCTGGCATGTGTGCAAGAAAGAAAAGGAGTATTACCAGTCACCGTATAAAGGAAGAGATTAACAAAGCACAACATACTTTTATCATGCACCTTTAAGACTCCTAAGATGTACAGGAACATCACTCTTTGCACTCTCTCCATCATCATCTGCTGCTGTCTCTTTCAGAGGCAAAGGAAGCTCATTCTGAGCTAGCCAGTCTGCAACTTTAACCTCCGCTGCCACCATAGCTGTCTGAAGGGGACTCAGCTCCTCCCCAGGGGCCCTTTTTGGTCGGGGGCGTGTCTCTCCTCCCACCTTTGCTACTCGATCCTTGACCATCACTTTACCTGATGCCCCTGGATCAAACTCAATGGTGAATGAGGCATGACCGTGGATGGGTTCCAAGGCAGCAAGAGACGCGTTGGTTCCTTGTTCTTGTGAAGGAAGTTCACTGCTTGTTTTAGATGCTGTGGGAGCATCCTTAGTTGGGATTTCAAAGTAACTAGGTTCTTGATTAGAAGCTGATTGAGAGGAAGACTTTAGAATCTCTGTACTTTTCTTTGTGTCTGTAACAAAAATAAAGGGATTTGACAAAATGATATGAAAAACCTAGAACTTAAGGCTGTTTACTTCCTCAGTAACACTGGGTTGTATATTCACTTAACCATGTGATATTTATTCATAAATGATCATACCTATTTCTGACTTCTCTTTCTTCTTGTCAGAGGTCTTTTCTTCAGGTTTTCCAGAATGTTGATTATCGGTGGCTCCATCTCCCCACCAAGCAGGCTGCCCGTAAAGGGGAGTGCCTCTGTGTAAAACTGCTGTGTCTCCTGATAAAATCAGTTCAATGGTTAAGATTGCTGAATGGAAAATATATTCATTAAAGCATAGATGCAGGTAATGCTGAGAGAAATTTCATGAGAAATTGATTTAGATTGCACAGTTTCCATACTGGAAAATATTAAGAGAGGCACCAAGAAATTACCTGGTGCCTTGAGTCAACCAATTTTTAGCTTGAGCGGCCTTCACTCGGGACCTTTCAGATGGAAACGTTTTCTTCAAAACAGTGATTGCAGTGAGTTAAACTGCTTCCAAGCTGTAGTAAAACCAACAACCTTTGCGCGGACATGTTTGCAGCAGGTGCCAAGGTTGTCAAGTGATTTAAAACTAAACAGTTTTTACTATGAAGGCAAGTTAGCTCTATATTGAGGCTGCTATAACAGTTTGACCTTGGAGGGTGATGGTCCTTCAACTCCATAAACATTCAACTACTATTGCAAGTTTTGTTGTTTTATCTTCAAATGGTTTACAGACAGTGAAAAAGTTGTGTCAAAGGAAATCAGTTTGTACTCAACATAATATATAATTACAATTTATTTATAATTTATATACATACATACATACATACATATATATATATATATATATATATATATATATATATATATATATATATATATATATATATATATATATATATTATACTTTTGTTAGAAACAGGCCAGTTTATATTTATATTTTGTATGTTTGTTTTTATATATATTTATATTATGTACATTTTATATGTATATTTTAGTAAGGTAGAGGTTGGGTTTCTCAGGTTAATTCCAGAAATAGATAAAAGAAGTTAGCTACTTGCCTATATCTGATGTTAGATCACCAATAAAACCTTTTTTTTTCTGGATTCTAGTGGCATTTATTTTTTAAGTAGGCAGAAAGGGATTTTAAATCAGAGAGGGGAGGAAGTCATGCATTAAAGGTCATCAAGCCAGGACTAGAACTTGTGACAGCCATGTTAACCCTTCCATACATGGGTCATGCACTTCACACCTGAACCACCAACACACCCTACTAATATCTTATCTTTTTTCTTTGGAAAATATGTTTCTGCAAAAATATATTTGTTTTTTTAAGCAAGTTTAACAGGAATATCAGGTATCAGGAAAATAATAGGGCTACTGGTGATTATGTCAGCATAGGCTGACATGACAAGCAATCTAAAAATGTTTCTTTTAACAATCATTTATTGCATCGATAAATAACCAAAATAATACCCCAAAACAGTGTGTTTTGTGTTGGTCCTTGCATTGTTCAGTTCAAGTTCAGGCTCACCTATTGACTTATCCTCTGACCTGCTGGACTCTGGTGGTTTGGCGGTGGCCCCATCCGAACCTGATGCCTCAGCTGCGTCTAAAGGCTTCACCCCACATTTGGGTGATTCTGGCTCAGCAGGTTTCCTCTGGATCATCTGAAGTTGGCTACTCAGTTTCTCATGCTGTTGTTTGCATTTATAGAGAGACGATTATCAAAATTATCAAAATATTACCAAACAAACGTTACCCTCAACATCCCCCTTTTGGAAGCATAGACCAGTATCAGATATTGCAAGCTAACAAAGAACCCAACAACTCCCCATTCCTAAGGGCCAGACCCGTTCATCCGGTTCAATTTGCATGTTTTCTAAGCCATAACAAGGCTTTGTTTTTATCCACTCTACAAAGCCACAAACTCAACGCTAATTCTGACATTTTTAGTTAAAAAAGCTTCCTGGATGGGAAGCGAAATGTTTTTAAACTTGGAAAGAAAGTCTATAGGATTGTTTTTTTCACTTTTTTTTACTGTGTGAATTACTGTGACCTGGATGACTGAGAATCTTCACCAGCACATTACCAAACAAAGAAATACGCTGAACTCTGACATTTTTCCTTTACGTACACTATTCCTTTGTGCATGTCATTGAATTCTTATTAACTATTAAAGCTGGAGTTCTGCAAGTTCTTAAAAAAAACTCCTTTACAAAAACCTGGAAAGCTTGACATGATGAAACAGCGCTTTCCTCAGCTATGAAGTTTTAAACTGGTTCAGCAGAACTCTTTGATTTCTCTAACAACAACATCATGAGAAAAAGTACAAGGCTGTCCCGTTTTAATCAGGCAGATCATCTCAGCCTGCAAACATGTTACCTCAAAGCTTTTTGAATGTATTTATCACAGCATAGCTGGTTTTCTAACCTTGAGGGCCTCCTCAGGAATACGTAGCTCTCCTTGAACCACGGTGAAAAGGTTGGTATGTGAGGCAGGTCAAGGAAAACGAGGTCTCTTGGTCACCCAGAAACATGCACTGGTAGCCTTATGTATAATGCAGCAGGCAGAATACAATGAATGCTCACATCTATTCACAAATAGATAAGGTTACACAGCTGACAGTGTCCTCTGTGGGTGAGAGTCATCTTATTGGGATTGTTTTGCACAGAACTTTCAAAGGATATCGTATCCAAATCTAAGTTTGTCATCAGTTTTTAGTGTGACATAAACTTGCTCTTGTATCCTGACGTCATTGACAAAAGTCTGAAAAAAATTTAGAGATATTGTATATATAAGGTTATTTGTGACATAAATGAGCATGAAGATCAACAAGGTATCTTTTCATAAACAGTTATTTTTCACAATGTGAGACCACCCAGTACCAATAAAAACGCTAAAGGTATGTATGCTGGATCCATTGGTAGTGCTGTAACAGTGCCAGAGAAACATCTCTAAACTGCAAAAAAACAAAAGCAAAGGCATATCTATCTATCTATCTATCTATCTATCTATCTGTCTATCTATCTATCTATCTATCGATCTATCTATCTATCTATCTATCTATCTATCTATCTATCTATCTATCTATCTATCTATCTATCTATCTATCTATCTATCTATCTATCTATCTATCTATCTATCTATCTATCTATCATCTATCTATCTATCTATCTATCTATCTATCTATCTATCTATCTATCTATCTATCTATCTATCTATCTATCTATCTATCTAATCAAAGTGCACTCATAAACTCACCCCGTTTAAGCTGCCCAAGTCCTTCACTTTATGTTCATCTGTGTTTGTCTCATAGTTGATGACTGCATGCTGTTTGTCCACGCTGCGGGACTAAATAACATATAACCCAGTCATTCTCTTTAATTTATCTGGACATATGGCAACATGAGTGACGAAAGCTTACTATTTAGTTCATACTGTACCTGCAACATGAGCTCACAATCATCCCGCCCCACAAAGATCATCTCCCGGGGAAGACGATGGCGGGTCCCACTGCTGCTCACCAAAAACCAGGATGTCAGACTCATATCTGCCTCAGAAGGTCACCCTTTGACCCTTAGTGCATCATGCTGAAAATAAAAAGATGAAATAACACATCACAGCATGATCATCAAGTAAGATTTTTTTTTTTCTATGTTCATGTGGTTGGATATCATGTGCATGGCTGCTATTTCTGTTATTGCCCCAGGGCATGAACTCAAATCATCAGTCCCTATGGTGGAGATAAGTAAATCCAAACCATATAAAGGTGAAAATCCACAGCTGTCAGAGTTTCAGACGTCCTTCAAAGTAATCATGTGGATTACTCATAGGACTGTCTTCATGCCATGTCCAGAGGCCATACCATGAAATAAAATGAGTAAGAAAGAAACAGAGGAAAGAAAAAAATGATATTTGATCATTTATGAAGCTGTTATCCAGCAAGGCAAAGATAATGATGTAAACAGTAAGACAGAAAATCCAGTCATATCCAGCAAAACAGATTCTAGAGAAAAAACGTTTCCTTGCTATTTTTAACCCTTATAAATGCTCCCCAGAATCATATGATTTCCATTCAGACCTTGTATTACAGCAAACACTGCTGGGTTATTTTGTCAACCAGGACACATGGGTTAGGCTGTTGGGAGACATGTATGGTATTTGTTTTTAACAAACATTGGGTCTAAAACTGTGACTGGGTGTTAGAAACGTAATTCATTATGGTCTGATGTTTCAATATAAGTTAAACTAGATTATCTGTAGTTGTATTTACATTCAAATATTTACTTTAAACCTTTTACTGCTTATAAGTAGATTTCTGTATTCAGGAAAATAAGGCCTAATTAAGCATAATCTGTATATACGCCCCTTTACTGTATGTGGCATTAACCCACCAAATAGGGTAAGTCCCTTGTGAACTCATGGACTCAGAAATGAATTAGAATGTGATGGAAAGTTCTCCCCTGAAGCTGGTCTTCAGTAAGCCTATCTCACAGGAAACTGCACAGGAACCTTTCCTTTTCAGCATTTACACTGAAGACATTTCCATCAACCTCCCCTGCAGAGGGAGCCATGGCTGCCACCTTTAGAAGTTCTGATATTACTGACATCTTTGGCATCATTACAGATGAGGGGGGTCAGAGTAGAGACAGGGGAGGCAGGATTAACTTCAGCATGTTTGATCATCAAATCACAGATCCCATTAAGTGGTGCATCAGATGTTTGTAAAGTGAGCTTCTAAGGAGTGACAGCGCTGACTGGCAATCACACAAGAAAAGACGGTGGGTCAATTAGGAGCTTGTGGCCGGTTTAAACTCCGGGAAGCAAGCTTCAGCTTGAGCTGCGGATTTCCACTTGGTCCTAGTGCTCGACGAATGTCTATGCACTGTAGCGTAACATTGTTTTTTGGACAGTAAAATGTGCTTGGGACCAAAACGGACATTTGAAAAAGTGCAAGGGACATGTCCCGCCTGCCTCCCCAAAAAATTACATCTATGCTTACACCAGCAAACATCCAGGGAACGGAGAGTGAACAATAAACAAGACTAGAGTGGATTGATTCCTTTAAGTGCAGGGGGCACTATTGAAGAGCTTTCTGCTCCTCTGTGGTGACATCAGCCAACTTATGGTGTACCTTCCTAAAGATTATCTGCCACTGAGAGGAAGAAGTTAAACCAGTAGAAAGGCCAGCAACATCATGGGCATTTATCCTATACACTGTAGCCAGTTAGAGAACTCTAGCAAAAATACTTGGACAACATCTCCCACCACCTGCAAGAAGTTGTTGTGGAGCTGGAGAGATCCGTCAGCGAATGACTCCTGCACCCTAGGTGTACTAAGGAACAATATCACAGATCTTTCCTCCCTGCAGCCAACAGAACTTACTGCTCCCAACAAGTGAGCATCTCTGCTCTTAATTGTACAATTGCAAAAATTAAAGGAAACCTTTAATTTTTGCAATCCTTTCAAACTTTCAATGTAAAGTTGTTCTTCTATAAATGGGTTTATGTGTTTTTAAATTTAGAATTTTGCATTTGGTTTTAGCATGCCACAAAAATAGAACTAAACCAATAATTTCACCTTTAAATCGTATGACTACTTAGTGCACCTGATTATTTTGGTCAAACTTAGGCCTATATCCCAAACTTTAGCTGAAGTTTGAATCAGTTCATATTTAATACAGACTGAAGGTAGCAGAATGATACAAATACAGTTGATATTTCCCCCTGCAGCACCATCAATCCACAGAGAATGCTGACTCACGCAGAAGAAAAAAGACTTTAGTAGAAAAAATCTGGAGATTTACCAACACACACACATTTAAACCAATCCCTGTTGGAATACTAGTAGATGTGGTTCGCTTTCTGTACCCGAGTTCATACAACTGCCCCAGATTTCCTCATAAACCCACTATGTTACGCACGACTTCACTCACAGCACAGTAACTCCCTCCTCAGCCGCGCAAAAAAGCAGCCACAGATGATGATGCTGAATGGGCCAATCGCACAGCCTGTACATTAGCCCAGTTAGGCCATCACTCGGTGCCGCGCTTAGAACGGGGCCATTCAGTCAGGGGCCACATCGGACACATCAATAACCCCATTCTATAAAAGCAGTAGTAAAAAAAAAGGAGATATGAGAATAAACGCGGAGCTACAATGATCCCCAATAGTTAACATGATCATCTATAGGGCGTGCACACTAATCCTTCACATCCACATCTTCCCTTTGGATCTCTTAAGCCAAATAGGCTCATTAAGTGATCATTCTTAGAGTGTTTCAAGAGCTATCCGCTGCTGGTCATCCATGGATCCCCAGCCTTATGGACGACATATCCTGGATGTCTGACCAGCAGCGATGCTCATGTCACCGCCTCCATCCCTAAAAGCCGCACAATCGGAGCCCCGACAACAGCAATAGCAGGAAAATGGATCCATCTCACCGTACAGCTGTATAATGGACACGCAGCATCCGACAGATATACAATAGATGTATGAGGAGGGTTTCTGATGAGCGCAAACCCACTGCCCAGCCCTGCTCCTTCAGCGCTTCTGCGTCTTTGCCTCTCGGTGGCGCTGTGAGCTAAAATGGAGAAAGCAAATGTGATTATGTAACACTAAACCATAGGCAGTGATTGAGTATGACTCGGTGAAATTGTAATTTATAGAAGATGTTTGAAAAAAAAGAGGGGTATTTAGCTCTTTTCATCAAACCTTTTTGAGCGGTATAACTGTGTAACAGGGGCGTCAGCTGACCCAATACTATACAGGGACACAATAGGGCCCTAATTTTTTGGGGGGCAATTATTTATTTAAAAAAAGCATGGACACAGATAATTAATGCAAGCATGCGAGCAAATTTTTCATAGCACTTATTTAATAGTATTTATTATTATAAAGTGTCATAAATAAATTGTGCAATCAGATAGTTATTTTCTGCATCATCCAACATCTACCTGAACCAAACTGAATTCAATTGTCCCACTTGTGAACTTAACTGTATATCTCTAATCCTCTACTGATGAAGGTACAATTTATCTTCATTAAATATCTGTCAGCAAACGTAAACTTGAAAACTGAAAACTTGAAATGTGCAACTTTTCAATTCTAACTAAAGTGGTAGTCTATAGCCCTATTTTAAGGAAAAAAAAATACAAGCATGCATTTTGTTTATTTCCCCATATGCCAGAGAGACAGACTTAAATTATATTAATTGATTAAAAAACCAGTGCCCCAGGCATACCCAGACACAGCAGATCCTCAACGGGGCACGGGCCCCTGTGAAAAGGGTCTGCCGGAAACACATCTGCATGTCTCCAGAAACATTTTAATTTAGAGCAGATTTCCTGAATCAAAGTATCTTTATTGGAGCATATTCATTTATCAATTTTTTCTCTATCTATCTTCCCATCTAACTCATTGTCAAAAATCATTGCCAAAAATGTAATTCTCCCTTTAGGCACTAGATGGGCCCAGAGTATTGCGTACCATCATGTGACCTGGAATAGTTGGTGGTCAGAAATAAAGTATTTGATGTATAAAACGCATTTTAAAAAGCAAGAATATGTTCAAAGATCACATAAACTCGCTTAAAGCAAGGCAATAGTTTATTTGTCCTCAATCAACAGATGTTATTAAATACAAATATAGATTTACAATAACCAAACTTTTTTTATCTGTTTCCTCTTACCGACGAAAACATTTAGTCAGATTTAGTTAAAAATGAACTTCCTGCAAGCATTCAACCTCGTATTACACATGATAATTAGACAAACCTAGTCCGACTGTGTCATGGTTTGATTTCTTATTCAATAAGGTCTAGTGGAAGTAAAACAACCAAAAAAAAAAAGTTACATCGTTCAATAGTTAACAGGGCATATTCATATCCATGCTGAAAAAGTATCTCTGTACAGTGGGCAAGATTGCATTGACAACAAATATGCTCATATTCTAGATTTAAATGTTTTGTGCCATTTTTATTTTTAAAAGTTAAAAACTTCTAGAACTGTTAGGATAAGTATCATTGATTATGTGTGAGTTCATTACACCTTAATATTACCTGCCTGTCGTGTGTCAGAACCAATGTTTTCCCAAGTAGTTTATCTAATTAGGACAGTTTCTCGGTCCGGCTATGTACAGTTATAATCTTCATTCTGCATGAGGCAAAGATTTGGGAATAGAATGAAAGCGGTGTCCTTGATCTAAGAACAAAGTGACATATTGTGATATGGCTGGAGCCATGGATGTCTCCTCATCTACAAAAATTTATGATGTAATGATGTGATGATGTGGCAGACGGGAGTTGTATAAAATGCTTCTTTAAAGGAAAAGTCCGGTCACATTCAGAATACAAACTTCTGAAGGTACTTTGAGTATGGAATTATTACATACTTTTCAATAAATGATAAGTGTTTTTAATTAAAAGTAATTTCATTTGAATATGCTTTACCGGAGACATCCATGTTTATCAAAGAACACTACCTCCACCTACCGGCTTGTGACGTCACAGTGCGGTATCGGCTTTTGAGCAAGTCCCAGTGCTCTATCTGGTGTTTATCACAACGCACTATTATCAATGATTGCGACAACCAGTGCACTAACTGATTAATTATGTGTTTTTTCTATGGCCAGAAGTTGGATGACAAATCCTCCCTCTTCAAGTTGACAATCCAACGAAGAACCTGTGGTGGATGATGAGTTGGAAAAGATTAAATAACCAATTTTTTTCACATCCAACTGCCATGCCATACCTCTCAATAATTTCAATGGTGAAGTCCTCTTGAAATCTTTAATAATTTTTGTTGATTTCAGATGTGTCTTTTGGTTCCCATTGGTTTTGCTTGTAAAGCGATAGAATTGACTTCGGCTTACCGCACGTCACTGCGGGAAAATTTCAGTAGTCAGGAACACACAAGTGTAAACAAAAATAAATTTCATTTAGTACAGCTCTCTAAAATATATCATACCACTATATTTGGTCAAAAATTGCCAGGTCCCAGACTTAGTGATCAAGACGGAAAATATTGTTTTTATTTTTTTGCTGATTAATGCTAAATTAATTAAATCACCACAAATGTACCAGTTTTAGGTTTAACTAATGATCCATTGATCATTCCTTACTTAACGGATTTTCCTTTAAATGTTTATCGGGGCAACTTCCCGAGAGGTGAGCCCGGTTGGTAAGCAGCTGCCTTCTGTAACCCTAAGCAACTTCTCTGATCTGAGTAAAGTTACAATTTCTATCAAAATATGTTGTCATGTCTCATGGTCAGAAGCGGGAGATCAATAGGCAGATTGGAGCTGCGTCTGCTGTGAAGCGTGCGCTGTACCGGTCTGTTGTGGTGAAGAGAGAGCTGAGCCAAAAAGCGAAGCTCTCGATTTACCTGTTGATCTACGTTCCTCATCTATGGTCATGAGCTTTGGGTCATGACCGAAAGAACGAGATCCCGGATACAAGCGGCTGAAATGAGTTTTCTCCAGTGTGTCTGGGCTCTATCTTATAGATAGGGTGAGGAGCTCAGGCATCCAAGGAGGACTCAGAGTAGAGCCGCTGCTCCTCCAAATCGAGAGGAGCCATTTGAGGTGGCTCGGGCATCTGGTTAGGATGCCTCCTGGACGTCTCCCTGGTGAGGTGTTCCAGGCACGTCCCACCGGGAGGAGACCCAGGACACGCTGGAGGGACTATGTTTCTCAGCTGGCCTGGGAATGACTCTGGATTCCCCCAGAGGAGCTGTGAAGAAGCAGATGGATGGATGGATGGATGGATGGATGGATTGATGTCTCATGGTTATAAATACATACACGTTATGAAGTGTTATTTAAAGTGCTCTCTTTTGAGGAAAACAAACCTGAGAGAAAAAGCTTTAAGGTGTGGACACTGAGCTTTCCTTTAACAAAACCTTTGAAAAAAAAATACATTTGCATCACATGCAAGGAAAACACAGTTTTTAATTCAATTTAGTTTATTCATATAGCACCAATTCACAACACATGTCATCTCAAGGCACTTTACAATTAAACCAGATCACACAGTCAAATTGATTCAACATTTTCTATCTAAGGAAAACCAGTTGATTGCATCGACTCATTTCCACTGTAAACATTGTCTTTAAGTTTACCTTAAAAATAAAGTAACTATACTTTATTAGCCACCACAAAAAAGAGAAAAAAAGTCATCAACTACAGAACAAGACAAAAGAACAAATATCAAAAAGATACAAAAATATTTCAAAACGATTCAAGTGTTTTTTTTTTACATTTCCTCTTTCACTGGACAAACGATATAAATAATTAAAACTATCTTTGATTAAATGTATTTACCCTTAATTTGAGTAGGTAAATTAGATAGTTTGCCAATGGAATGGTATATTTACTCTTAAAATAAGATAATTGGATAAGATGCACTTGAAATAAGACAACGCAATTGTGTTTTCTTATTTTAAATAGTAAATTGTCTTGTTCCATCAGGAAAATGTCTCTTTTACCTCCTCAATCCAAGAACAAATGCACTTATTTAAAAAAAAAAATACTTATGTAGATTTTAATTATTAGTATTTTTTTTTACCAGTGTTTGTTTTCTGAAGATTAACATTTTATTGTGAGTTTGTTAGTTTTCCTAACATGAACCCCTGAAGAACCATAAGCTGTTCCCACAACATGTAAAATCCAGACACATGTGAACGCAGGCTTTTTTTTTTTTTTTAAAGAAGCCTATTCTGTCTATTTCTTGTCGTGCTCTGTTCTCTAATTTGCATACGCTGCGTACTAGCTAAATTGATCCTCTACTACATCCACGCTGTGCTGCGCAATCTCCCTGCTCCATGCGCTCTGTGGCGGTCCTACCCCTCTCCCATAGCCCAGCCCCCTTGATCTCCTTCGTCCACTGGTATGTACAGGGTGTCTCTCTCTCTTCCATAGGTAGTCCATAATGAGTGTCCATTGGTTTTCATTAAGGCTTGCCCCCTCCCTCCAACTGGCCTGCTTCACCCATCCCATGTTTTCTATGTCTCAGTCCGTTCACTGCCCGACGTTCAAGTTCGTAGGAACGTCACGTCCGCACTTGAACTTGCAGCTCAGGGGGGGCTTCACCGTATACCCCATCACTCACCCTCTCTCCCTCTTTGGAGGAAAAGTCATGAAGAGCTCCACACAGCCCGTTGCGCGTTACGCATCCCGCTCCGTCTGACCCGCAGATCCGCTTCTGCTTTTTGTCCCTCTTCCTCCTTCATCCAGATGACAGACGCATCAAATGAAGATTTTTTATTTGGAGTGTACCTCTTAGGATTGGATTTCCCGATGTGAACTCGGCTGAGAAGCCCTTTGCCGAACCATGTCTCGTCGCAAGCAAGGCAAACCCTTGCACTTGAGCAAACGGGAGTTTTCGCGTAAGTGGGAATTATTCGCCTTTCGTTTTTATTCTAAACCCCTTCACTGATCCACTTATTGCCCCTTTCATTTCTTTTAAATACTACTTCATTGGGTCAATTGTAAAGGTGCGAGGGCACCGACACATGTTGTTCCCAGATATGTGAGGATCTCCAGGGTGAAAAGTTCCGACAGGAACCTCCGCACTAGAGGTAGTTGTATAACTAGTCATCAAGGTTTCTTTCGCCATTAAAGGGCATGAGTGAGTGAGCTTTATGGCCAGAGACCTTTGGCTGCATGTGAAGGAAGCCAGGCTTCACAGTTGCGGACATTCACCCACAACTTCCCGTGTGTAGCTTCCGATGTCCCTGAGCTACTACAGTCTGGATCATCTGGCTGCAATGTTTGTGCGTATTTGGACACAGGGAAGAACAGGATAGTGTTTACATACACACACGTTAACAGCGCGGGGAACTGTCTGTGCCATGGCGAAAGGAAAGAGTACATTTTCTTCTCAACACAGGATGTAAACATTACACTATTTAACAGACATGTTGTGCTATGTGATCAAAACTAATATAGACAGAAAAATCCTAGTGGGAGCTCAGGTTTGTGGTAGAAATGCCGTTTTACGCACACCGTGAGGCGATGTGGTTCAGCTTTTAGTCGCTGCAACGGCTTCTTTAACGCAACATTTATATATTTTATCGTAGTGAGTGACAGCAGGAAGCCCAGAAGCGTCGCATCAACTGGTTCCTCACGGATCAGTGATGACGAGGATGCTTTTTATACTCAAACACACACACAAACACACGTGGGGTGCTGTTGTTAAACTAAATCCAACTTGGAGACAGAAATCAGGAGGGTTTGTACTCCGTTCCACCTTAATTGGGGTTATTGCTGTTGTCTGTACGTCGAAATCAATAATGGGTTGATTTGCTTAACCTGATATACCCATGCCCAATAGAAAAATTGGTAGGGGGGCGTTGCCAGTTGGGGGCGCACTGTGATTGCGCTACTTTGCAAGGGTTGGTGGTAGCACAAGTTGGGGGTGGGGGGCGCCCCTTATTCACATGAACTTGATCTACTTTGTCCATCTGCTACCGAATAAATAAACAAGTATATATATATATATATATATATATATATATATATATATATATATATATATATATATATATATATATATATATATATATATATATATATATATATATATATATTTATATATATATATTTATGGCCATTATCCTTAAATTTTCTCTTCTGCTGCTTAAGTGGAAGCTTTTCTAAACATGACAACAGGGGAAAAAAATAAAAGATAAGCCTTAAAATGAGGAAAGAAAAACAAAACAAAATAGCAGTCTTATAATGTAGTGATATAAATCATAGTACCTCCACCCCCTTAGCGTCCCTCCTTAAAGGCTTTGTGGAGGCACTCTGTGTTATTTTATTTTATTTATTCATTTATTTATCATTTTTTGCTTTGTAATCTGCAAAAGGGAAACTTTTTGTAATATAACTTTTTGTAATATAACAAATATTTGAAAAATAAAATTTAAATGAAAAACATTTGCCATTTTTCAGGAATTAAGTCAAAGGATATTATTGATCCACCGAGTAATGTTGGCCTTAACTGGCAAAGTGAAATAGGCTAAATGATTTTCCTTATAATCAAAGACATGAGCTGCAGCAGAGGTCCAGTGGGAGATGACCTAAACTACTTAAAATTTAGCTCAGTAAGAAGTGTCTGGAAAAAAAAAAAAAAAAGGTTTTCATTCACATGACTAGTCTTCGGCATCACAATAAGATTCCTTCCTTTGGAAGAACGAGAAATGTTTCTAACCCAACCTCACACACCTTCGCCTGCATCCGTAGCACAAATCGGTTTAGATAAGCCTCAGTGAAATAGGCGGCCTGCATTCCTTCATCTTTAATGCAGTCAAACTTACAAATAACGGGGGCCTATCTCGCCTACAGTCCCTCACCACCTTCTCATCTGACCCGACGCTGAATTAGAGGTTGTAGCGGCGGCAAGAATTCATCACATCTTATCTCGACATCCCAGTTGGGGCGCCTGATGTCATTTACCATGTGGCTAGAACACTTCTTTTTAAAAGCTGCCTCTCTCTCCTCTTTGTCTATCTGTCAGTACTTCAGGGACCTACTCCACATCCAACCCCTCCATGTCTAACCTTGGTTCACAAGATCCCAGCACTTTTAACGAAATGGGGTCCAATCATTTTGAACTCAAATTAGAATCTATTTTTTGATTCTCAGAGGTGTTAGGTTCATTAAAAAAGCAAGATTGGCAGCACAATAAAGAGGGTCAAGCAACTTAATCGTTTGGCGGCTGCAGCAAGCTGAACGTGTCAGTCCTTATCGAAGCAGGCTGTGTTGCTCTTTTCTTATCTTTCCTCTTTTGCGAGGTCTTTAAAAAATGTCACATTTACACTTTAAATCCCGACCGTACTCTTTAAGATGCCTACAAAAGTAAATGTTAGCAATATGAAAAACAGCAATTCACTTGTTCTCACATGTACCATTCTTAGCAGAAGTATTCATACCCCTTTAAACCTTCTTCCGTGTTTCAGTTTCTACAGACCTGAATAGATTTTTGAGGTCATTTTTCAACTGGAATTCTGAACTCCGCCTCAGTGATTTGGTTGTTTTATTTCCCATACAGTAGCAGCTGTAATGCTATAGAAACTATTCCACAGTACAATGCTGCCACAGCCATGTTTCATGGTTCGCTATAACATGGCAGTTTTTCTTTAAACATAAAAGTGAGCATTTGGACCAGAAAGTTCAGCTGTGGTCCATTCTAATAATGATTGATAATTGAACATTATTGATCTCACAATGGAGAAATTTACCTCTCCATTTAACCAATCCCCTTGGGGAGTAGTGGGCTGCCATCATGGGGCGCCGGGGGAGCAGTGTGTGGTTAAGGGTCTTGCTCAGACAGCCAGAGTGGCAGTCTGTGGGAGAGGACTACATCAACTTCTTTAACATGCTTTTGCCTCTAAAGATTGCGCCTTGATGCCCCAAAGAGAGCTTTTCATAGCTTTCTTTCAACAATGCCTTTTTTTTTTCAATCACAACTTTTCCAGGTATAGTAGGCTTATTGAGTGCCCCTCCAAAGTTAACACCGTCTCCACCCTTAATCTTCTCCTTGCACATTCTGTTAATTGAGGCGAATGACCATATCTTAGTAAGTTTTCAGGTTTGACCTATTAGTATTCCTTTTTCTAATGAATTAGGTCATTCTAGTTGCTGGAATGGATTTTATTAAGGGAAATCAGAAGGAACGGGTTAGAGTAGCGTTCTAGGTCACACCACACTTTTCAGATTTTTATTTGTATATAAATTTTAAAAAACATGTTTTAATTCCCCTTTACCTCCCAGTCATCCACTATTTATCATTTAGATAATATCATGAAAAAATTATATTTAAAATTATGAATGCTTTATAAGGGCAGTGTTGCACCAGTCTGCTGTTTCTGTTACCAAAATCCCGTTTTATTTTTTATTTTTTTTGCTTTTCCAGCGGAGCCACCCTCAGGTGTTTTAGGCGAAGAAGACTCTCAGGACTCCTCCAGGCTGGGTGTGGCTCAGGACGAGCCCCTTAAAGGGGATCCGGACCTGCTCACCTGCGGCCAGTGCCACACACGCTTCCCCCTCGCAGACATCCTGCTATTCATCGAGCACAAACGGAGGCAATGCCACGACAGCCTCTGCTCGGACAAGCCTCTGGACAGGCCTCCATCCTCGCCGCTCGCCTCTCCCCTCTCCACCTCCTCGTCTCACTCCCGAAGCCAACAGCTGTACCCGCAGAAGGCGCGTCACCCGGTGGAGGTGGCTGTACAGGTGTCGCCTCTGGATGAGGATTGTTTATCTGCACCATTGCAAGGAATAATCCCCAAGCAGGAGAATGTCACAGGTAAATACACAGGGAGCTTGATATGGGTGCCTGGACAGATAACACACGTTCTGGGATCACATAGTCTTTTTAAGAGGAAAAAAAGAGAAGAAAATATAAATATGACCTTAAACTTGCTTGGATTGCTTGTTGTTATTAGGATGTTAACAAATTAGCATAAAAAGGAGCAAAAATATGTGTTGCTGCAAAATGCAAAATTTCCCAGCTGTGTCTAAAAGCTAAATGAAGATCAGGCGCCCTGAAAATGAAGGAAACATTTGGAGCTAATAAATAAGACAAAAATGCTGTCCGACAAAGACACTTATCCAAAAAGTGGGAGCCTGTCCTGCAGCACAGATGTGTTCAAATCCTGGGGATACATTTTTTCTCTCTCATGTGGTGCTCAGTGATGTATATCTTTCCCTTACTGGCTTATTACTCTGTCATACTGTATCTCTTTTACCCTCAAATATGCGCCTGTAGAGGTTCTAAAATTAAAAAGCGATGGAGAAGAATGTAATTATCTGTCAGCGCATAAGTGTTTATTTGAGGAACTCTTCAGCCACTAATTGTCAGTGTTTTTCTTGATTTTAAGTAATTAAGGACTTCTTAAGCTGGCTAGTTGGTTTGTTGGGTGTCCACGGGGGCTAAATGAGGCTGCAGTGAAAACACAAGTTGCTGTGCAAACAAGCATGCATCACTCATGGCTGTTTTTTCTTACATAGCGCTCTTTGATTTCGTTCAGCACTTTGAAACGTTTGTTCCTGCTGGTTAAAGGGGGGCCGATAGCGCCTGCCGGATTATGCTGATTGTCTGGGACCGTTGTCGTTTAATTTGAAGCCAATGAAGACTAAATGTTTAGAGGGAGCTCCATGGCTTTCCTCTCCTGTACAGCATTAGGCAGAAACACGGATTTGCAGATGGCCTTCTGTAGAAAGCTACTGTTATTTCTGTTGGTTAGTTCTCCCCCTGTGACACAGAATGACCACTGTTACTTAGTTTACAATTTGTTAAACATCTGTGTATGCACCCCTACAAACACACACATAAACACATCTGACATGCCTTCTGCCTTTGTCAGCTGTTCAAACATGAATTTCTTTAGTAATTTAGATCTTCATGCAGTGGAGTTCACATGATATCATAAGGTCGCTGGCATTGTGAACAGGGCTTTATTTATTGGACTTATAAACTGTTTGGACTTTGTGTAATGGCAGAGCCGGTCCAAGATCGTATGTGGCCCTCAACAGTTTTGTTGGGGGGGGGGCTTTGTTTGTATCTTCCATGTTAAATAGTTATTTTTTATTCTTTTGACATTATCAATATTATGTTAGACAGCAGCAAAGTAAGATCATCAATGCAATGTAATATATTATTATTTATCTAAACAATGCCTTGAATAAAAAATATATTTTGATTAATACTGCCGCATTTACTTACTTGTGCAATTTCCCAGGTAGAAATAACAGAAATAAAAAAAAGGAAAAAAAAAAAGATTTAAATACTTTCTTTCTAATGGTAGCAGTTACAGACCTGTTACTAGTATCAAGGTATACCAGTGATATACGAATAGTTTCTAATAGTAACTGTTTTAAATCTATACTCTTTATATTAAAGCATTTAGAGATAGAGATCCAAGAAGGTACTATTTTGTTTTACTCAGTATTACAGCCCCACCACCACCACTTACTGCATACTGTCACTTTACTGGCTGAAAGAAAACTAATATCTTTTTTAATTTATTTACAAGAAAAGAAAAATCAGCAATTTGGTTATACCTCAATTGGCCAAAAAGGCAATCTAGGCATGAGAACTAAAACAGCATCTTCTATGACTCTTATCAGGGCTGGCAACCTCTCACTACCATATCTCATAAGCATTCGGCTGCAGGCTGACTACCTGAGCAGCAGAACGTTCCAAATTGCGTATACTATATCAGCTTGTTATAACTTCAGTGTTCCCATATAAAGAGCAAAATGACAAAAAAAATTGGATATTTTCTCAATAGACCCATGGAAATTAATAATAAAATGAATCAATTTCATATTTTCGACTCAGTCTACCAGAATGTGGTAATCGACTTTGGCAGATGGCTGCTCACACTGAGCCTGGTCCTGCTGGAGGTTTCTTCCTAAGGGAGTTTTTCCTCTCCACTGTCGCTACAAGCATGCTTTGTGTGAGGAGTTGCCTTTGAGTCATTTAGTTTAACTGTTTTTTCTTAGATAGAAAACTTTGAATGCGTTGTAATTGGCCTGCCAGTTCTAGGGCCTGGGGCATTGATTGAGGCTAGAGCACTTGCAGGCAAAAATTATTTTGGCCGCTGGCGGGTGGGGCAAGTTTACTAGGCTAGTCTTTTTTTTTTTATATAGCTTATGACTTAGTACTGTAAAAAGGCGGTAATGTTACACAAGTTTATCTCACTAAGAATCTTGCATCACCCCATGTTTTCCTCAGAAATCAGAATTTATAGTCATTACACCTATATCCATTTGAGCATTAACTATCACAAACTCTGTTTCAACTTGATGTTTTGCTTGTGTAAAAAATAATTTGTACACCAGATTAGTTTCAAGCTTTGAACTTTTGGAGTAAGAAGAGAAAATGTAGAAAATGAAAGAAAAAACCTGCAGGGAAATTTGGGGTTTAAACTGAAAATGCAGAATGTTTATGCAGAACACTCTGCGTTAAGAAGCCAGTCCCCTCCACTGCTGCTGGCATCACCTTCACCACCACCTCTGTTTTCTGCACCCAAGATTGATGGATGCAGACTGGCAGAGCCAGTGAGCCACCTCACACTCAATATGCTTGCTGCCATGTTCCTTCACCCTCTCAGTTAAAGTCTGACACCGAGCTGAGCCATCTCAATACATACTGTCCCTAAACTGGCTTCATTCTCGCTCCATTCCAGGAGAGTACATATGTTACAGCCCTGCACTTGAAAGTGCCCCCCCTTTTGCCCCTCTCCCTCCTACTGACCTGTCATTTGACACAGATAGATTTCCATATGGACAGCAGTTTGTAAAAGCAAAGGGACTCGGTTTAGGCTGAGAAAAGAGGCTGCTAGATTCAGAGGGTGCTGGAACCCAAGGGATGGCTGAACTTGTAGGGGTGGGGGTGGACATTCAGCAATAGACCCAGTGCCGGAAAGGAGCTGTGTCTTTCGGTCTATGTCTAGGGGACAGCTGGGAGTCTCTTGATTGCAGCTGGGGCTTTGGTCTGCTGTCTGGAGCTGCAGGCCGTTAGCAGAGGGCAAAGCAGCCTGTGTGCCATCATTTGCATGATAAACAATTTAAGATATGCATAGGGACACCAAAGCTGTTGTCTTGCTGTTTTTTTTGTAATAAGGGCATCCTAATCCCAAAAAAACCTAAAGTGTCCTATTTAATTTTTTCATAAAATAACAGACCTTATGAAGCTCAGTCTGTGTTTTCAATAATCTTGTTTTATTGTAGAATTGTTTAGTTTAGGCTACACATGTAAGGTGGTTACAGAACTTAAGACATACCAAGATTTTTCAAAGATCAAGGTTTAAAGAATGCGAACATCTGCTGTTTTACTGTTTTTACACTTTAACATGCATCTAAAGCAATGCTACAGAAAAAGCCAGAGATCAGAATATGGAATATGAAGTTTCTCATCGTTGCTTCTCACCAGCCTGTACCTGTACACTGATGGTTCGATGGTTAAAAGATGTTTAGTGATCTTTAGGACTGAAACCATTAATTGGATTAATCACGATTAATTGATTAATGAAATAATCAAATAATTTAGTAATCGAATCATCGTTAACTGGAGTATAGAGACTCTAAAACATTCCTTTAGCTGACAGAAGGACCCACTTAAGAATATATATATAAACATTTTGCATTTAAGGTTAAAAAAATATCCCTGTCAATTTGCTCTATCCAGAACTCCTGAAGTGGAAAAGTTTTAGCTTCATATGGTTTAATTTCATTAAAAAAGTCTTCTTTAAGGAATGTTTGGCTATCGGATTATTAATCGATTAATCAAAAAAGCAATCAACAGAATAGACGATTTTCAAAATAAACGTTAGTTGCAGCCCTACTGATCTTATATCTCCCATGAAACAATAAATGTGCTGAATGGAAATATTTCCATTATCAAAGGGAAAGCATTTAATTGCCTGGTAACCAAAAAGCACCCACTCCCCTAAAATATGTATATATATATATATACAAAGTGTATTGATTATCTAAACAGTGTCTATAAATAAAACAGGAAGCAATGACATTTGATAGTCGCTGAATTCCAACTAACAAAATTAGCCACAACTATATCAATTTTCAGACCAATCCTTCTATAAATCAAGAATCACTCATTCTGCAACAATTAATGTTAGATTTTCAACTTTTTTACTGTTTGTTGAGTTCAGTCCATGACCCTTTTATTTAAAGAGAGCCAACGGCAACAAAGTAAGCAACTATTTCTGGTGTTATTGGAGACCTCTTGAGACATGTTTTTACTTTGTTACATGGTACTGTGGCCCTGAAGCTAATGTTAACTTTAGTTTTATTAGCCGCTAATAGTCAGTGCCCAAAGTTTTACCTAATAAAGAATTTAAAGTAGGGGTGCTGTGTACGGTATGTTGCATTTCAACCCAATTTAGTCGACCATTTCAATGAAAAGCCTTTAGTAGACAAATGCATCAAGAAAACCATTTAAATAGATCAGTTTTGCTGTTGTATTAACGGAGTCCACCCATTAAGGAATATACTAACATCGCAACTCCAGTTCTTTGGTTTGACAAGTAACTTTGTGTTTTCGTTTTTTTATATATTTGTGTGAAAACCTAATCTCCTGCAGGTTTAATGTTTTTTTCTCTATATGTCGAATAACTGGACCAAGATTTTCAATTTTTTAGGCTTAAAGCCACACTATCACATTTCAGTGTAAAAGCAGCTCATGCCCCATATTCTGTAATTAGCATCTCTACAGCTAATTTGTCTTTGTTAAATTATAGACTGCCACCCCATTTTTCTGATTATATTTACACATCATTT